CCTTAGCCACTTGAGCCATAGGCGCTGAGCCAATCCACCTTCTCATGGTGAGCCTGCCCCATTCATCCTCTCCCTCACCTACACACCATGGGCGGTAGCCAGTCCATTCCCCAAGACTTCACTGGGCTGTCTCTTCCTATGGCCTGAAAATGGCATTTTGAATCTAAACCTTTGACATTTTGATAATCTCACGGCCCAAAAGGGCAAGTGGTCTGAGGCTCCCTATATTCAAGCTTCTTCCCTGGGGTCCCCCTCTGTTTGTCAGGATTGAACCGGGAAGGGGCAGGCTGACTGCTTCACACCACACTTTTATTCTTTTCCTTAATAAACTCCTCTTTGGTCTCAGAACTGGCCTCCTCTCTTTTCTGCAAACTATCTCCCTTTCCAACAAGGCCATCTCCCTGCTATCTTTATCTTTTCCCTCTCTCACTCTCTTTCTTTTTTTTTTTTCAGTAAACAATGATGCCATTTATTTAAAATGTTTACTCCAAGAAATATATATATATATATATATATATATGACAATTACAGCACATTATGGCAGGTGCCTGTAGTCCCAGCTACTTGGGAGGCTGAGGCAAGAGAATTGCCTAAGCCCAAGAGTTGGAGGTTGCTGTGAGCTGTGACGTTATGGCACCCTACTGAGGGCAAAGGTGAGGCTCTGTTTCAAAAAAAAGAAGAGCCTGCAGAGAGTCCCAATAATGAGCTGCATGTCCTTGTTGCCCTGATAAGAAAGACTTGTCTGTAAAGCCAGTTGCCCTTCAGCCTGCCTCCCTAATGCTGCTGACAGCCCTTAGATCTTAGCCCACTTGTACCCAAATAAACATTGTCAATAAACAGCGTGGGCGCCTGAGGGATGGAGCCCATCTGTTTCTGTTTGGCACCAGGGGAGATGTGGGCTCCCTGATTGCCCCTGGTTGTTGTACCCAAGGGGAGTGGAATTACAGAGAAAACACAAGCACACTGAGTTCAAATTAGCTATGGGGTCCTTTATTGGCAGGCCGACCGAGATAGGTTCATACCTCTTGGCCCTGCGTTACAGAAGAAGGGGTTTTTTAATACCCTTCTTTCAACTGGGGCGGGGGTGGGTATTGGAATTCTTAATGCAAAGCACTTTACAGAAGCAAAAGGTGAAGTTTGATTTAAGGGGCAAGGGGTTACAAAGGGAGTCAAATGGTGTTCTATAAGCATCTGCATCGTGGGCTAGTCTGCCCTATCTCCATATGTAGCAGGAAACTGACGCAGATGAAGGCTCCAGGCACCAGTTGATTAGAGGAAGCGGGTTTATTCCAGCCAGAGGGTAACTGGAACACCAGTGTGTCTCCAAAACCGAGCCCCCCAACTCAATCTCTTGCCTCTCTTTTATCCACTTTTCAGGGTGGGAATGCATGTGAGGGTCATAAAACAGAGAGAGACATGACATCATCCTCAAGGTCCCTGGCTCAAGAGGGAAGGTCAGATTCTCCCATGTCCTTGAGACCGGTCAGACCACCTGCCCTCAAAGGCGATGGAAGTCCAGGGAAGTTACTAGGTTACAATCTAGGCCGCACATATGTCAAGGAAGAAACATACAGATGACAGAAACGCCTGGGGCTTGGCTGAGGCCTACACAGGGCGGCAGGACAGATTCTTTTAGTTCTGCTTTTACTTTCTTGCCTCACATAGGGTATGTTCATTTAACACGTCCCATTTCTGCAAGGCCTACATGTTCAGGAACAGGTCTTGAAAAAGTGCAGGCTGCAAGATGGGGTCAATCCCGCCTCCTCCTGGTGAGCCTGCCCCATTCATCCTCTCCCTCACCTACACCCTGTGGGGTCAATCCACCTTCTTTTTTTTTTTT